TGGAAAACAATTTTCCAAGCCAATGGTCCCAAGAAACAAGCTGGAGTAGCCATTCTAATATCAAATAAAATCGACTTTCATCCAAAATTAATCAAAAAAGATAAGGAAGGACACTTCATACTCATCAAAGGAAAAATCTACCAAGGTGAACTCTCAATTCTGAACATCTATGCTCCAAATGCAAGGGCACCTACATACATAAAAGAAACTTTACTAAAGCTCAAAACACACATTACACCTCACACAATAATAGTGGGGGATTTCAACACCCCACTCTCAGCAATGGACAGATCATGGAAACAGAAACTAAACTGAGACACTTTGACATTAACAGAAGTTATGAACCGAATGGACTTAACAGACATCTATAGAACATTTCATCCTAAAACAAAAGAATATACCTTTTTCTCAGCACCTCATGGTACCTTCTCCAAAATAGACCATATAATTGGTCACAAAACAAGCCTCTACAGATACAAAAAGATTGAAATAATCCCTTGCCTCTTATCAGATCACCATGGAATAAGACTGGTCTTTAATAATGACAAAACCAATGGAAAACCCATGTGCACATGGAAACTGAACAACTCTCTACTCAATGATGACTTGGTCAAGGAAGAAATAAAGAAAGAAATAAAAGACCTTTTAGAATTCAATGAAAATGAGGACACATCATACCAAAACTTGTGGGACTCCATGAAGGCAGTGCTAAGAGGAAAACTCATAGCTCTAAGTGCCTACAAAAAGAAACTGGAAAGAGCACACACTAACAAGTTGACTGCACAACTAAAAGCCCTAGAACAAAAAGAAGCAAATACACCCAGGAGGAGTAGAAGGCAGGAAATAATCAAACTCAGGGCTGAAATCAACCAAATAGAAACTGAAAGAACAATACAAAATATCAATAAAACCAGGAGTTGGTTCTTTGAGAAAATCAACAAGATAGATAAACCGTTAGCCAGATTAACCAGAGGGCACAGAGAGAGTATCCAAATTAATAAAATCAGAACTGAAAAGGGAGACATAACAACAGAAACGGAAGAAATTAAAAAAATCATCAGATCCTACTACAAAGGCCTATACTCAACAAAACTGGAAAACCTGGATGAAATGGACAATTTCCTAGACAGATACCAGGTACCAAAATTAAACCAGGAGCAGATAAACCATCTAAATAGTCCCATAACCCCTCAGGAAATAGCAGCAGTCATCAAAAGCCTCCCCACTAAAAAAAGCCCAGGACCAGATGGTTTTAGTGCTGAATTCTATCAGACCTTCAAGGAAGACCTAATACCAATTCTCTTCAAACTATTCCACAAAATAGAGACAGAAGGAACACTACCCAATTCGTTCTATGAAGCTACAATTACACTCATACCCAAACCCCACAAGGACCCGACAAAGAAAGAGAACTTCAGACCAATCTCCCTTATGAACATCGATGCAAAAATACTCAATAAAATTCTAGCAAACCGAATCCAAGACCACATCAAAACAATCATCCATCATGATCAAGTAGGTTTTATCCCAGGAATGCAGGGATGGTTCAATATTCGGAAATCCATCAATGTAATCCACTATGTAAACAAACTTAAAGAAAAAAACCATATGATTATCTCACTAGATGCTGAGAAAGCATTTGACAAAATTCAACATCCCTTCATGATAAAAGTCTTGGAAAGATCAGGAATTCAAGGCCCCTACCTAAACATAGTAAAAGCAATTTACAGCAAACCAGTAGCCAACATCAAGCTAAATGGAGAGAAACTTGAAGCAATCCCACTAAGATCAGGGACTAGACAAGGCTGCCCACTCTCCCCCTACCTATTCAATATAGTACTGGAAGTCTTAGCCAGAGCAATTAGACAGCAAAAAGAAGTCAAAGGGATACAAATAGGAAAGGAAGAAGTCAAAATATCGCTATTTGCAGATGATATGATAGTATACTTAAGTGACCCCCAAACTTCCACCAGAGAACTCCTAAACCTGATAAACAACTTCAGCAAAGTGGCTGGTTATAAAATCAACTCAAACAAATCAGTAGCCTTCCTCTACATGAAAGATAAACAGACTGAAAAAGAAATTAGGGAAATGACACCCTTCACAATAGTTGCAAATAATATAAAATACCTTGGTGTGAATCTAACCAAGCAAGTGAAAGACCTGTATGACAAGAACTTCAAGTCTCTGAAGAAAGAAATTGAAGAAGATCTCAGAAGATGGAAAGATCTCCCATGCTCATGGATTGGCAGGATTAATATAATAAAAATGGCCATCTTGCCAAAAGCAATCTACAGATTCAATGCAATCCCCATTAAAATCCCAACTCAATTCTTCACAGAGTTAGAAAAGGAAATTCTCAAATTCATATGGAATAACAAAAAACCTAGGATAGCGAAAACTATTCTCAACAATAAAAGAACTTCGGGAGGAATCACCATCCCTGACCTCAAGCTGTACTACAGAGCAATAGTGATAAAAACTACCTGGTATTGGTACAGAGACAGGCAGGAAGATCAATGGAATAGAATTGAAGACCCAGAAATGAACCCACACTCCTATGGTCACTTGATCTTTGACAAAGGAGCTAAAACTGTCCAGTGGAAAAAGGACAGCATTTTCAACAAATGGTGCTGGTTCAACTGGAGGACAACATGTAGAAGAATGAAAATTGATCCATTCTTATCCCCTTGTACAAAGCTCAAATCTAAGTGGATAAAGGACCTCCACATAAAACCAGATACACTGAAACTAATAGAAGAGAAGGTGGGGAAAAGCCTCGAACACTTGGGCACAGGGGAAAAGTTCCTGAACAGAACTCCAATGGCATATGCTCTAAGATCGAGAATTGACAAATGGGACTTCATAAAATTGCAAAGTTTCTGTAAGGCAAAGGACACTGTCAATAGGACAAAACGACAACCAACAAATTGGGAAAAGATCTTTACCAATCCTTCATCTGATAGAGGGCTAATATCCAATATATACAAAGAACTCAAGAAATTAGACTCCAGGCAACCAAATTACCCTATTAAAAAATGGGGTATAGAGCTTAACAAAGAATTTTCAACAGAAGAAACTCGAATGGCCGAGAAGCACCTAAAGAAATGCTCAGCATCCTTAGTCGTCAGGGAAATGCAAATCAAAACAACCCTGAGATTCCATCTCACACCAGTCAGAATGGCTAAGATTAAAAACTCAGGTGATAGTAGATGCTGGCGAGGGTGTGGAGAAAGAGGAACACTCCTCCATTGTTGGTGGGACTGCAAGATGGTGCAACCACTTTGGAAATCAGTGTGGCGGTTCCTCAGAAAATTGAACATAGCATTACCCGAGGATCCAGCTATACCACTCCTAGGCATATACCCAGAAGGTGCTCGAACATATAATAAGGACATATGCTCAACTATGTTCATAGCAGCCTTATTTATAATAGCCAGGAGCTGGAAAGAACCCAGATGTCCTTCAACTGAGGAATGGATTAAAAAAATGTGGTATATTTACACAATGGAGTATTACTCAGCTATTAAAAACAATGAATTCGAGAGGTTCCTAGGTAAATGGATGGAACTAGAAATTATCATACTGAGTGAGGTAAGCCAATCACAAAAGAACACACATGGTATTCACTCACTGATTATTGGATATTAGCCCAGAACCTTAAAATGCCCAAGATGCAACTCACAGGCCACATGAAGTCCATAAAGAATGAAGACCAAGTGGGGGTGATTCGGTCCTTCTTAGAAGGAGCAACAAAATACTCAAGGGAGCAAATATGGAGACAAAGCGAGGGACAAAAACTGAAGGAGGGGCCGTCTGAAGACCTTTCCACCTGAGTATCCATCCCATGTGCAGTCACCAAAGGTAGATGCTGATGTGGAAGTCAGGAAGTGCATGCTGATAAGAGCCTGATATGGATGTCTCCTCAGAGGTCTTCAAGAGCCTGACATATTCAGAGGCAGATGCTCACAACTAGCCATTGAAGTGATCATGGGGTTCTCAATGGAGGAGTTAGAGTGAAGACTGAAGGAGCTGAAAGGATTTGTGGCCCCATGAGGAGAGCAACAATATCAACCAACCACAGCTCCCAGGGTCTAAACCACCAGCCTGGGAGCACTTATGGAGGGATCCAGGGCCTTAGCTGAATATATAAGAGTGGAGGGCCCTGCTGGGCACAGATGGAAGATGAGATCCTTGGCCTCATGAAGGCTGGACGCCCCAGGGGGTGGGAGTTTTGAGGGTGGGGAGGTGGGAGTGGGGGGGTAGATAGAGGTTACATCCACAAAGAAGAAGGAGGAGGTGTGAGGGGATTGGGGGTTCCTGGGTGGGTGGGGGATGGGGTAAGGGGACAACATATGAAATGTAAATAAAACATCCAATAAAAAAAAAAAAGAAATCAATGATTGAGTTTCTGCCAATCAAAATTATATTTTGATAGAATTATCTTTCCTCAGTTCAACATCACTAATTATACAGGGGTATTGGAGGAGGGCAGCTACAGGACATAAAAGCCATTGTCCCTTTCAAATATACCAGGCACTTTCTCCTTCATCCATGGCTATGTTCCTCACATGGTAGCGGTGGGAGTTTAATATTTTTAGTTCTATGATTCATGAGCCATTTCAAGACCTACAAATGCAATCGGCAGTGGGAAAACAACAGAGCTTTAATCCACCCATATCGGCAGACATATAAGGTCCCCTTATAGAAATGCACACACATATGCATAAATACAGGCAAATATTCACACATGAATGCATGCACACGTGCATAAATGCACACATATATTCGTGTGCACTCACACAGTAATGGACATTTATCACAGACCTTGAAATCTGCTTGAAAAGTCAATGCTATGTACACTGCTTGTAATAGCAGATTGTTTGTGTTTCTATTAGGATTTGTTCAACTTTAATGTTCTGATTTTTCTATCCTCACAGGGACATGCCCATGTTAGCAAACATTATTTACAGCTTCTTTGTCTCTCCTTTCCATTTCAGGGTCACCCAGGACCACTGGGACCACAGGGACCAATTGGGCCCTTGGGACCCCCGGGACCCATTGGGATTCCAGGAGAAAAAGGTCTAAGAGGTGACAGTGGCCTGCCTGGACCACCAGGAGAGAAAGGAGACAAGGTGAGTGAGTTGTGTAGCTCACCATCCTACCAGTCTCCAGTGCTCAGGACTTGGTTGTTTGCTCGTTTAAAAGTCTGAAGATAATATTGGTATTTGAAAGAAAACTTTGGCCCTGGATAGGCAAGCTGTAAATCTGCAGCTGCCTAAAGGAGTCAAAGAGAAAGAGAGAAAAAAATCCATTTAGGTAAGCTGACCTGGAGGCACAGAGGCATGGACATAGAGGTGAGATTCATGACAGATAAGCAGCTACACGACAGGCAGGGGGAGTTTGGGAAAAGATGAAGGAAACCTGAACCGTTGGGGAAGCCCAAAGCGTTAGACGCATGCTTAGAGAAGAAGATAGAAAGCTGCTCTTCTGAATAATTTAAGGCAGGGGGCAGATCTGGGAAGCTGCATGCCCCTAGCCTGGTAAGCTGCTTCACCGTTGGTGGGGATTCTGGGAAGGAAAAGCCTGTTATCTCATTAAAGGACAAATTATTCCACCCACCCCTTTATAACACTCAGGAATAGTGCACAACTGCACGTAGTCAAGAACTAAGACACAAGACTATGGGAATCAGTCTTTTTCTTGGCCCCTCTCCCAAGAAGTAGGCCCATCAAGAACATTCCTCTAATCTCTAAATGTGCCCAGGGAAGACTGCTGTTGTTCATCTGCTTTTCAAACAACCCAAACGAAGCGTTATGTGTGTCAGGCCAAACCTTTCATTTCTCAGTCAACCATATGTCTTAGAGTCAACCATATATCCTGTGTTAATATCTTAATCCACATTTATGTCTTGAGAAAATACCATGGAACGTGCCATTCCATGGTGTCAAACCGTGGCTTATTTCCTGTTGGTGAAAATATGAAATTATTTCATAACTCTGTATAAGCCAGGATGTAGTTCTGTCAGTTGCTGCTGTTCATATTAAGAATCTGTTGACCTGGGAAGGATTTCTGAGTGCTGGAGTTCGGCAATGTGCCACGTATTTAATTTGGGTTGGTTCTGCCAAGGTGCCTTCCTAGGTCCATAATACAGAGGGTGAAAGGACGCTTCTTAAACGTTGGGGTCTTGAACAATCAATGAACCACACATGACAGTTGACTGCTAAGGGGTTTTGATTTGGAATCACTGTTAAGAGTTTCAAGTAAATAGATTTGCCTTTCTAATAATTAGTTGTGTTTACATCTTTGTTTTATATTTTGGAATTAGGGTCCAACTGGTGTCCCTGGATTTCCAGGAGTGGATGGTGTACCTGTAAGTGTCCCCTCACTTTGCTCCATTGTTTTAAGAAAGGAAGAAATAGTCACTAGAAGCTTTAAAGTGAAACAGAGTGTGGTGGTGCACACATGGCATCTGAGTACTTGGGAGGCTGAGAAAGGAGTTATGCATTTGAGACCATCTGATGGTTTGCATAAGGAGAATCTGTCTTAAAAGAAAAAAACAAAACAAAACAAAACCAAATACCAACATAAACAAAGTCCACGAAAAGCAGATGTTCAAAAAAATAGGTATGGTTAGTTCTTACTCTTACATTGTGTAAAATCATTAAAGAGTGCTTATTCTTCAATCTCGTGCAATAACTCTCATACCAAAATATTTTACATGAAGAGCAAAGTCTTCAAATAAATTAATGAAGAAGAAATCAAATCCAAAATAGACGCTAGATATACCTGTCTCGTCATGCACAGTGCTCTGGAATGAAATGTGTGCTCATAAGAGAAGCCTCATTTTTTGGTGCGTCCCAGCTTCGCAAGTTAACTTTTTGAGAGTCATACAGCGCAGAAGCCCAGGGAAAGAAGAAAGTGGGGTTTGGGGGAACTTTAGAAGGCAGCAAAAGCCTCCACAGCAGGAAAATAACTCAAGCTAAATTAACTTGCCGTGGGCAGAGTGCACTTTAAAGTTGTAATTTTACCAGGTAGCACTCTTACGGTGCCTCACAAAATGAAACAAGTAAACAAAAGGGTCATGGTTTCTGTAGTTTGGGGTGCATGTTAGGGTTTTCTTGCATAAATATGTCACTCACAGTTTTGTCTTCCCCAGGGTCACCCAGGGCCTCCTGGACCCAGAGGCAAACCTGGCGTGGACGGCTACAATGGCTCACGAGGTGATCCGGGTTATCCAGGAGAAAGAGGAGCTCCTGGCCCAGGAGGCCCCCCTGTAAGACATTATTAGCACAGCCTAGAGTGATCCTAAGAGAAAAGACTTGCAGGAACCAGTTTGGTATAGTCACGAACTGGCTGGGGTCGCTGCACCTTCGCCTGCAACTAAACTGGGTGCTTGGGGATGGGGGTGGCGAAGTGGGCAGACCCAGAGCATGTACGGGTGTTGTAGGCTGTGGAACGGGAAGACGCTGAGTAGTATTAAGAAGAGGTGTGAACTAACTGACTTAATTAAGTCATTTCTAGTTCCTGCACGAAGCCTGCATAGTTAAAGGAGGAGGCAGTTTACCAAAACTTATAATTCCACCACTCAGGGTGAATTTGTATTTAAAGATAGCTTCAGCAAGGGACATCCCTTATTCCCATGACCCACCTTTCCAGCTCTCTCACTTGAGTAAAACTCAAGCATGGTTTGGCCTGAGTCAAATGTACTGTATGAAATTTTCAAAGATAAAATTATTATTGATATTATCCATATATTATTTATATGCTTTATATATTTTTTATATGTTATTTAAAAAATTTATAAAACATAAGAATTTATAAAATAAAAGTTATACAATTACATATTAAATATATAAAATATCATATATATTAATAAATAATAAATATACTATATATTTATATATTAAATGAATACAATAATTATGAATATATTATATATTAAATAATATATATTAAATAAATAAATAGAAATAAATAAATAAATACATTCTTTCCTTTAAGAAACAAGTTGACTTTCTATGTATGGCTGTCTTTCAGCTTTTCCCCTTTGCTATTTAAATATTTCTTCTTAAAATCTCCCAAGAGGTTTCTTATTAGCACTATCAGAGATGTGCATTTTCTCTTCATTCATCTTCCCTGTGCTCTGGACCAAAGGAGAACTGATCTGAACTTAGAATGCAGAAGGAATTCCAGGTTGGCACTGTTCTTCACATCACATATAAATCATCTTTGGTGTTTAGGTTCTCAGTCAAGGACACCCTTCTCCAAGTTCCAGTGCAGTGAGATGAATGCACACAGAGGAAGCTCCTCCCCCTTCTACTGAATGAGGCATTTCGGAGTGGGGGGGAGGGGAGGCTCTCAGTGGCAGCTTTACAGTAGCTGGCCTTGCTGACCACAGGGTTGGGTTGTCCCATTGTTAAGCAGCGTTCCGTCCTTTGTCACTTCTGATCACTGTGCCTATAAAGTGAGACGGCCCTGAATGCTAAGGCTACCCAAAGCAACTCAGTTACAACTCTCTTGTGACCTTTTAAATGTTTTGTTAATCAGTTAAAAACTTGTTGTCACTTATAAACGTATGACGTGAAAGAAATAGAACAAATATTTATGTAGTACTTTGTGATTTTTAACATTGAGAATCAAAGCGTTGAATTGTATAGTTTAAATTTTTACTTTCTCCAGACTGTTTTGAATGGCGTTTTCTGTTTCCCTATCATGTAATATATAATAGCAAATTAACCTTTTTCCATGCTATGAAAAATGTCATGCTCTTTCAATTTTGGGTAAGTTTTCATTATTGAAAAATATCTTCATCACAGTCTGTGTCCCCTTGCTCGAGTCTATCTGCTGTAGGTGCTGCGGCGGCCATGATTTCTCTAACTCCACTTACACTCTGGCAGTACTGTAAATGCCTCTCTTGTGTTTCTTTCCCTCTCATCTTCGGAGACTAATTCCCTCTTTCAAGAAGCCATTTTTGTAAAACTGTCACTTGGGTTTATATCTGAGAGAAAAGGAAGCAACATATCTATGTGTTTTGCTGTACTGTACTCTCTCTTTCTCTCTATGTGTATACACATGTCTGAATAAAAAATGATCCATCACACTCCTGCAGACAAACTCCCACCCATGTTCCTCTGGACAACCTTACTAAAACTCACTGGGTTACCAAAAAAAAAAAAAAAAAGCAGGGCAAAGGGACACTGTGTGGGAAGACGGAGATCAGCAGAAGTGGGAGGAAGACAAGAGACACTGGGTGACTATGAATGAGATACATTATGTCCATTATGAAAATGTCAGGACAAAAGCTCTTATTACACATAATTAATATATGCTAATAATTAAATGGACCAAGAAGTGCCGCTGTGATCAATCACAGCAGGCTTATGCGGCGCTCTGTCACAGTAAGCTTCAAAACACATGATACCATTCATCACGGATCATGACCAGTCTGTTATCACGGAGTGATTTGTGAATCGAGGAGCTAGCAGTGAAGGATTTATTTATTTATTTATTCATAAATCTGGGGATCAAACCCAGGCTCTCTGCCTCCAAGTTTCCGCTCTAACCTACGTGCGCTATTCAGTCCATTTCCACTTAACTTCTTAACTGATCTAACTCAGTGTGGGACTGAAACCCACACAGACTGGACATGGAGGAAGCCACAGCTGCCTGAGGGAGCAAAGCTGATTAGTCAAGGAAACAGTTGCTATGACTTACCAGGAAGCCACTGGGCGTCTCCCCCCTGGAAACCAAGTCAAGCCTTTTTATGAGTGGGATCAACTTGAGAAATTTACACTCCTTCACTGAGCTTGCTAATATGAATAAAGCAGAAATTCTGGGTTAATGCAAGGAATTTAATGTAAGATGGTAACTGGGATTTTAAGTTGTTCTATAGGAAAATTATAATGGAATTCCTTGAGCTATTTCATTTACCGTCTAAAAGTGCTCTAAACAATGGGGACATAGTGGCACATGCCTCTAATCCCAGCACGTGGGAGGGACGCTGAGGAAGACTGGTCTCTGTGAACTCCAGAGCAGCCTAAGCTACATAGCCAATTCCTTGTCAGTCACTGCTACATAATGACACCCTGTCTCCAAAACCAGCCAGTTAGCCAAGCAACCAACCAAACAAAAGGGCAGCTGCTATAAAGTTTGAAATTTGGTCTTAGAAAAGTCTTACAAGCTCTTCTTTGATACAAATACCGAAATGGGTCAAGTAATTAAATCGCAAAATTACTTACTTTTAAGAATAATGCCTTGCGTTATAGTATGAGGAAAATGGAGTCTTTCTGTCCCATAATAGTAACTGACCACTAGTGAGAGGTCTGCCTAACTGAATGGCTGAGTAGTGGTGTAGGAGGACCTTGGACCTCAACAATCAAGGAGACCATAAGTCCATCCCAGCGAAATGGCTACAGTGCTTTTTACTGGTGACTAATATTTCATACAGAAGAGAACACATTGAAATGGTGGTCCATATTTTTCCTAAGTGAATGTCTCCTTTTCAGGGTCGGCCTGGGGAAAATGGAGAAAAAGGAAGATCGGTGTTCATTTCAGGTGGCTTTAAAGGTATTCAGGTGAGTGTTACGGTCATTGTGGGTTTAACAAAGCCATTTTCCCAATGGGTGACACACAGGCAGGGATTTCTTACAAAGTATTATGGAATGCACTGATTTTTTATTTTATTTTGCCATTAACCTCACACAACAAGATGGCTCTGTTCCTCTTGTAGGGAGGCGTGGGCCTTATTCTCTATGGCTGTAGATTGCCTTGCCTCTTATACACTCGGAATTATAAGAACACATCATTATTGTTATTTGAACTAGGTAGCCAGTTGCTATAGACAGACCTGAGAATAGTAAGGCTCTGAGTACAATGAGGAGGCTTTGATTGAACAGCAAGGTGAGGCTAATACTATAGAAATGTCAATACCTAAAAGTGATAAAATTTTAAATTGTATCTTAAGTGTAACTTGTGTTTAGAAAGAGCCTGCATCTAAGAGCATACACACACTCTGATCGTCATGCAAAGCAATTAACATCAACACAAAGCCAAGAGTTAGATCTGGACACCCTAGCAGGGAGGGCCACTCTTTGCGCTCTCTTTCTGTCATTCTAGAGAGGCGGTTCTCAACCTTCTTATGCTGCATCCCTTTGATACAGTTCCTCATGTTGGGGTGACCCCCAACCATAAAATCTGTTGCTACTTCCTAACTGGAATTTTGCTACTCTTATGAATCATAACGTAAATATCTGATATGTGGGAGAGCTGATATGTGACCCGCCCAAAGGGGTTGAGACCTATAGGTTCAGGACTATTGTTCTAGAGCAAGGTCTGGTGAGGCCACTAGTTACATTAGATAGGTGTATTGTGAGGAAACAGGAATTTTGGTCAAGATGCTATGGTAAGATGAGCAGAAGTACAACCCACGTCTTTCTTCTATGTTGTCCTGACTCCACCAGTCTTGTTCCCCATTAGATAGATGGGAAATAAGGAAAGAGATCCACCACAGAGCCCTTGCATGGTTGTTTCTCAATAGTGACAAAGTGCATAAGCTGCTTGCCTGGGCTAGTATAGATCTGTCATGTTGCACTTCTCTCTCTTGGAGTCATCTGTGTCCTAGAAAAATGTCCTCCTCTTATAAAACAGTATAATGATGTCATTGCAGGGAGACCGTGGGGATCCAGGACCACCCGGCTTACCAGTAAGTCTCCTGGGAAGACCATGGGCGTCCATCTTCTCCTCTTCAAATAGCATTTTAGATTTTAAGTCCAGCAGGACCAGCTACAAAATGTGTGGGATCCATTATAGTATAGAATAAAAATCTGATTGCTTGTCAAAGATTAAGGATTTTGTATTACTGGGAGCAGGGTGTTGAGTCTGTGTGCGGTGGTGCTCCAGTTCACCCACCAGGAAGCAGCTGCAGAACTCAGCAAGCTGCCTCTTACACCACACCCACACACACATTGTCTGCTAATAATCATTTGGCATTGCTAAGCATTTGCAGACCTGTGGGAAATTAACTTTTAGAAATATATATGTATGTATATGTACATATATATACATATATACACATATACATACATATATACACATATACATACACACACACACACATACACATATATATATATACTCCTACATAAATATAGCAAATGAAATTTTGTACCACTTCTGTAGAATTTTTACCTGCCAAATTAGTAACTGTTTATTGCTATTTTACCCCACTTTCATCTCCCTGGAGTTTGGATTTCAATGATCATATTTAGCCTTTCTAGTTTATCAGTGTTTACAAGATTGAACGTAGAAGCAGTTTTGCTTCCCAGTGATTACCTTGCAATTCTGCTTTGTGGCTCCCAGCAATTCACAGAGTTACTCTCCCGGGCCAGTTCCCTAACTGTGCCAAAGCTCGATTCCATGTAAGAAATGAGATGCTTTTGATGGCACTGTTGAAATAAATGCCTGCTCACCCCCCTGAAGAGGGCAGAGCTTCATACTCAGAAGTCATCTGCTGTGAGCTGGAGAGCAGGGGCTTGCTCTCTCCAGCTCTCCAGGATTTCCCAGCCACCCCTGCAATCTGCCAGCGATGGTATGCCATGATGGTGGCTTACATGAAACAGAAAATTGCTTAAGTCTGAATCATCTTGATCCTGAGCTGAGGATAGCATTTTACTCACTTTGGTCTTCTAATCCACATTTCAAGAGTATTTTTTAAAAGTACAGACACATTAGTATTTAAATATGCTCTTTGTTCCCAGTACCCACATGGAGGGTCATAACTGTCTGTGACACTAGGTCTAGGGGATTCAATGCTCTTTTCTGGCCTCTGTATGTACATGGTACACAGATATATGTACGGCAATTGGTCACAGGCATAAACTAAAACTATCTTTAATATGAACAGATATCTTGATATGCATAAAGTTGCACTGAAGTTGGGAAGAGCTAATGAAGTTCTCTTGTTTGTGGTTTTTATTATTATAAGGTTTGTTTGTGAGATGTTGATTGTCCTCTTGACCTGAAGGGAGCCCTGCAATAGAGAGGGTCACCCTTCCTGGCCTGGAGCTCCTAACTTCAGAGGATGTGACCATATGTTGGGGGGGGGGAGGGACTGCTGTTTCTCAGGTTTTCTATCTACTTGGGCTTACATGCCATCCTTTCTGTTAGCAATAATTGTGGTTTTCACAGTAAACATACTGATCTTTCTTTATCTCTCTCTCTTTCCCTCTCTAGGGATCTAGGGGTGCACAAGGATCAACAGGGCCCATGGGGCATGCGGGTGCACCAGGGCTAGCAGTAAGTATAGCTGCGGACCCTGCCCCTCTGTAGCCAACAGTGCAGCAAAGACTTCATTCTTGGGTCAGGCTGATGAATCACCTGTTATAGTTTGTATATGCTAAGATCAGGGAATGGCACTATTAGAAGGTGTGGCCCTGTTGGAGTAGGTGTGACCTTTTTGGAGTAGGTGTGTCACTGTGGGAGTGGGCTTTAAGATTCTCATCCAAGCTGCCTGGAAGTCAATCTTCCACTATCAGCCTTCAGATGAAGAACTCTCAGCTCTGCCTGAACCATGTCTGCCTAGATGCTGTCATTCTCCCACCTTGATGATAATGGACTGAACCTCTGAACCTGTAAGCCAGTCCCAATTAAATGTCCTTTATAAGACTTGCCTTGGTCGTGGTGTCTGTTCACAGCAGTAAAATACTAAGACACCATCTTTATTGGCAGGAGCCCGTCTTGATAGACAGGGTCCCCAGAATAAGCCACTGTCCACACAGAAAGATAGTCCATCAATGTTAAAAAGTGTACTGTGTGTTCTTACCATTTTTCAATGACACATAATTGTGCACATAGAACCAAAACAATAGCTTTCGACATGAGACTGAGGACTTGAGTTCTATCCCAGAACTCATATAAAAGATCCAAGCATGGAAGTACATGCCTCTAATCTCAGTCCTGGGAAGATGGACATGGGTGGAACTCTGGGGCTTCCTGACCAGCTAGCCTAGCCTAACTAGTAAACCCCAGGTCTCAGTGGGAGATACTGTCTCTAAAACAAGAAATGACGTCTGAGATGGCTCCTGGCCTCTACATGCATCATACACACGTACACCTACACCATGTGTGCCACGTATACTTGTACGTATACACAATTGTATGTATTCATGAGGTACACCATGCTATTTGGACACGTGTTTAATGTGCAATGACCAACATTAGTACATCCATTGCCTGCAACACCCATCGTTTCTTTGTATTGGAAGCATTGATCATCCTTGCTAGCCACTTTGTAATGTGAATTGTTGACTGTCACCTCCCTGTGCCATAGACCACTAGCACTCAATTCTTTTGACTAACTGTAGCTGCAGTCTCATTAGCTAGCTCTTCTTTCACCCCCATCTTCCTATTCAGCCTTTTCAGGCTCTGGTAACCATGATTTTTCTCATTACTCACGTGAGATCAAATGTTTATTTTCCTCATAAGAAAGAGCAGAAGCATGAACAACCTTACAATCAAAAGTGTTTCCTAATTGAAACTTGGGTGGCCAAGGGAGATGTTCTGATGACTATGATTATAGTTTTTTTTTCTTTTTTTGCATTGATTTAGGGCCCTATAGGTCATCCTGGAAGCCCTGGGTTGAAGGTAAGTTCTGAATACATACATCACGAGCTCTGGTGAGATAACTGGTCATTGACACCTAGTCTTGGACACAGAGTTTCCCATTTAAATAAACCTTCATGAGTTGCATGGCTAGAAGTCTTAATTGCTTAATTGCCTTTTAAAACAAAGAAGCAATTGGATATATTTTCTTTTCCTTTCAGGGAAATCCTGCCATGGGACTGAAAGGGCAAAGGGGAGAGCCGGTAAGGGTTCCTTGTGCAGAAGAGGGGATGTTAGGATGTGTGCTTTCTCTAGTTATAGAGGCTGTTGTGAACATTTGCGTTCATTGTGTAGACACCGTCCAACTTCATAGCTCATACCTTCTGTTTGCTGAATTATCTTATCCTTAGCTTTAAAAATCACAGTTCTGACAAAACATAATACCAGGGCTAGGAAAGTAGCTTTGTGGGTGGGGCGCTCTAGAAAAGTGATTTAAGGTGGCGGCTTATCTAGACTTCCCCTGAATGCCCAACAGGAGGTAGGCTGCCCTTTCAGGACACTGCTGAAACAGCTTTTGAGCATCTACTCCATGGCAGGGTTAGGGTTAACGTTAGCAAGATTGACCTGTTCCCTGCTGACGTGGAGTTCCATGGCAATTAAGTTACAGTACAGTTGTTAAACAGGTTGGAAATATGGAGGAAGACTTCATGATGGAGGAAATGCTCACAATATGATATCAAACATAATGGTCACTCGCAGAGCTAGAGACCAAGTTTGTAAAAGTGACAGCAAAGAGTACTAATGTCAGACATGGGGATGCATGCCTGCAACCCCAGTCGGAATGCCTGCAATCCCAGACCTTGAGAGGGTCAACCGCCTACCTCTCCCTTTCTTAGAAAAGTTGGTCAAGGTGGTCCACACCTTTCATCCCAGCATACATGAGGTAGAGATAAGAAGATTAGGAGTTCAAGGCCGTTTTTTTTTTTTGTTTGTTTTTTGTTTTTTTTGTTGTATAACAAGTTTGAGGCCACAGGAAACATTACCTAAAAATAGGAATAAAATAATAAAAATGGAAACAGCACCCTTCATGTTTGTTACTAAGTATTGTGGGTGATGTGATTGTGGATCTTTTATGCTTTATTCTTTGGGCTTTGCTTTGTACATTTGGCTATGCTAACTACACGATACTTTTTATAATATGAGAAGATAGTTGGCCCAGTTTTGAAGATGCTCCCATTTTGTTGGTCTGTATAGGTTGTGTTTGGACTTCAGCTATGAGGATAAGGATGGTTATTAACAGTGCACATTGCTCACCCTGTTCTGTTTGTATAGTTGTTCGGCCATTTATTTACAGAATGATGCAGTCAATATATCAACTCTGTTAGCTAACAGCATATAAGGAAAAAAAATCTTAAATATTCCTAGTGTCTGAGCTCTTCAGTAGCCTCCCTGGTCTGAGCAGAATCTGGATCCTTAAATACACTACTTTCAGTAAATTTAAAGTGATATACTTAATGAAGAAACACCACCTATCAGAAACATAGACCTACACTAGACAGTCCATGCTAGCTTCAAACTTGTGATTCTCCTGCCTCAAGATCTCATTTGCTTAGTTTACGATGTATAATGTTTATCTTGATCATAGTTTTACAAGTGAATTTAGCAAGCTACAGTTCACTTGTATATAAGCAGGCATGTATGTATATATGTGTGCATATATTGTGTGCATGCCGTACATAAATAAACACTACAAAGCACTACCCCAAATGTCTTCAGTAGGTTGTCCCTAAATAGTAACATTATGGATCATTTTTCAAGCCATATTTCATAAGAGAACCAATACATATAACTTTATATTGTATAATACATTTCCCATGATTTTTATTTTCAATCTAGGACACATGGGATTGGAAACACTATATTATTTGTGGGTGAAAGTTTTCTGTGCTTCAAAGCGTAAGTTAAAATGAAATTCCTATCTTCTTGATATTTTTAAAGGGTGAAGTTGGCCAGCATGGTCCTCCTGGGCCCCCTCTGTTGGTACAGCCACCTGATTTGGATATCTATAAAGGAGAAAAGGTAAGTCCCACTCACCTCCCAAGTTGATATGTGACTAATAGGAAGCTTTTCCTGCACACGTCCAAAGCTGAGCTCCTGTGCCCCAGCACATGAGTCTCAAAGCTACCTCAATCAGCTGATGCTCATGTTAGTCCTGTTATGAGACCCGGAGCCTTACAGTGTTTTCAGGTCCGCTCAGCTGCTGCGTGGTAGACTGGGTATGGGCTGAGCTAAGTCCTCAGAACACAGGACCTCAGAGTGTTGCGCCGATGTGTGGACAGCAAAGATCATGAGGAATCCAGTCGTCCTTTCAGTATTAGAGGTGGGCTTTGTGTGTTGACAGCTGAGAAGCTGACACGTGAATAGTGATGGATACATGATAGACTTTGGGAAAATATCACTTTACCTATCCACCTCCGGCACAGGTATTCTCAATGCCAGATGAGTAGTCTATAGTTGTTTTTAAATGATGGCTTAAATTCTCCTACCTTACTGAAACAAGCCAGTTCTCTCAATAGCTATATTGTCAACCTTGGATCTGCAGTTGGGTTCTATAGATCTCCTCCACGCTCCATATGCATCTCACACTGACCCAGATAATAGCAGGGATATAGATGTACTCAGGATGCTGATTTTACCCCTTACGTTTTGAAAAAAGCCTAATGAGGAACAGGTTGTCCAAAGAAATGATTTACGAAATATATGACATTCAATGAATACTATGTAATCATATTATGTCAATCAAATTTTTAGGGTGTAAAAGGAATTCCTGGAATGATTGGACCCCCAGGACCTCCAGGGCGCAAGGTAATATTTTCATTTAATTTTGTGTGTGTGTGTGTGTGTGTGTGTGTGTGTGTGTGTGTGTCTTTACCATTACTTTAATGGCCAGCGTTTACTACTGGAATTTTTCATTATCTTAATATAATCTTATAAACCTCATTCTAAGGAAGTTGCTCTCTCTAAGCCATTGCCGATGTTTTTGCTTCTTATTTTGTTGTTACTTTCCAGACTAAGCAAGTGTTGTTTCTTAAACCCTTCTAACATTGTCATCTTTTATAGGGAGAGCCTGGTATCGGGATCAAAGGAGAGAAAGGTATCCCTGGGTTCCCAGGACCCCGGGTAAGGATCCTATGCCCTAAGCTTCCATGAGTTTGGAAGCATGGCTTGCTCACACAGTTGTGAGACTATGCCTGCATTCCCTTGAGCTAAAATGTAAAAACTACTCCATGTACAGCAATGTGTTTTGCACAAGAGCTGGGGTGTACCCTTCCATTTATGTCATTTAGATACAACAGGCATGCACAAGACAGGAGAGCTGGGGGAGGCGGGTGACAGGATCGTGGCTGTTCCTGTTAGCTCAGTGTTAGTGTGGTATGTACGTGTGCTGGTTAGTTTAAATCTATTTCATAAATTAGGTGTCTATGTAAGGATGCCTAGCAGGGAAGCACTATGTCAGCCTCTAGATGTTTTCTCACACCTGTCAGTAATGGCGTGCCCCGTGGGATCCCTGGGGATGACAATTTCAAGTAGGATTAGATAACTCTCATTTTAGTACTGAATGGTCCATTATTGGCTTTGGTGTCATTTTTTATTGTTAAAGTTGCACAGAGTAACTATTCATTTCCATGCAAATGAATGCACTGTAGATTTTAAAGAGATTCAACCCAGCATAAGCTTCATGCTAAATAATTTAAATTGGAAGAGGAGAAACAGCAAAAGCAAGCATGGTCTTAATTAAACACTGGCAATGATGTGAATTTTTTTTAATAAGGCTAAAGATCAAGTAGAATGGCAAATGGCAGAAGGACATGGAACTCGTTTTTATGTTTATCTCATTTTGTTCTGTTGAATATCAGTGCACATTGAGATGGCATATTATTATTCCTCCGCATATTAATGCATATCCAAACTACATAACAGTAGAGCAAGGTTAACAAAGATTAAAAGCATCATGCCCGATGTTTGAATTCTGCTTGTTGATTTTCTGTAATTATTAGGGTGAGCCTGGCTCCCATGGATCTCCAGGTTTTCCAGGATTCAAGGTAAGAGTACATCCCAGCAGAAGTGACAAATGTGTTTTCAATAGTGAAGGGGGCTTAGCACCGTGGAGAAGCTGTACTGTTGTTTGTGAATGCTGACAGGAACTGGAAAGGCAGATGAATTCTTTGTGGTTTTTTAGCTCTTAAATTAATTCTACTACATTTATTTATTTTATTTGTGACGTGTCTGTGAGTATGTGCATGTGTGTACACGTGCACATGCATGTGTGCATAGACATATGGCTCTGTGTACACATGAAACTCAGGGGACAATTTGAGGGAGTCTGTTCTCTTCCCTACTGCTTGAGTTCTGGAACTAGACCCTCAGGCTTTGTGGCAAGTCATTTCACCCTGTTTGAGGGTTAGGGTTTTACTGCTGTGTAGAGACACCATGACCATGGCAACTCTTATAAAGGAAAGCATTTAATTGGGGCTGGCTTACAGCACAGAGGCTTAGTCCATTATAGTCATGGCAGGAAGCATGGTGGCATGCAGGCAGACATGGTGCTGGAGAGGGAGCTGAGAGTTTTATATTCAGATCCCTAGCAGAAAGAAGAGAACTTTGAAACCTCCAAGTCCACCCACAATGACAAGACCACTCTTACTTCCACAAGGTCATATCCCCAATAATGCCTTCCCTATGAGCCTATGGGGACCATTTTCATTTAAACAACTCCACACAATAGCCATGTTCTTTTGTTTGTTTTAGGTTTTGGAAAATATTTATTTTATTATATGTTTAATTTATATATATTTAAATAATGTGTTTATACTATGTTGATAAAAGTTATATACTATAGAACATATTACGTTTTACATTGTATTTATGTAATTTATCTAAACGTACTTATAAACTTTAAATTACATCATTTATTTAAACATGTATTTATATAATTTAAAAATATATGCAGTTATATGCACTTATGAGTACGGGTACCCATAGAGCCCAAAAGACATCAGCAGTTGTGAGCCACTCAACATGGGTTCTAGGAATCTGTCTCCAATCCTCTGCATAGCCATACATGCTCCACACCACAGGACCGTCCCCTCAGCTCCCCTATTCGGTTTCTGAGCTAGGGTTTCACATAGTCCAGGCTGGCTTTGAACGCACTGCATAAGGATGTAATTGAGGCTGGTCTTGAACCCCTGAGCCCCTGATTCTATTTCCATTCCATCTTGAGTGCTAGGATTACAAGTGTACGTTACACACCTGGCTCAGATATTTTCATTTGATGGATTACACAGTGGTTCTCCATCTGTGGGTCATGACCTGTTTGGCAAACCTCTGTCTCCAAAAATATTTACATTATGGTTCATAACAGTAGCAAGATTATAGTTATGAAGTGGCAACGGCAATGATTTTTTTTTTGGCTGTGGGGTGGGGGGTTGTCACCACAATGATAAGGAACTGTGTTAAAGGGTCATAGCATTAGGAAGGCTGAGACCCACTGAGTTACAGGATTGTTTTCTTGAGTTTTATAACTGAATTACAAAACTTATACAATCCATGAGTTGTTAAGACTGCCCAGAGTCTCAGGGAGTGTGCTGTTCATGGTAGATGGGAGTGAGGGGATGCCAGCCTGATACAGTGAGCTGTCTCAAGTCTGTCTGTGGTTGTTTGTAGGGAATACAAGGAGCGGCTGGAGAACCTGGGCCATTCGGATATCTTGGTCCAAAGGTAAAAACACAAGGCCATGTCAGAAAAAAAAAAGGTTTTAGATTATTCTGTTATCAAATTAAATTTTTAGAATATTTCAAATAATCAAACAATGTAACTCTCAAAGGAGGACAGATGTAATGCTATACATACTATTTTAATGCATGCTGTGTATGATGTAAAGTAGTATATTTTCATGCCATTTTTATAAGCAGACAATGAAGCACAGTTATGCTTATATTCGAGAAGCGGTTCTTTTGCAAGTGGGTAACAATGCGAGTTTCAAAGCACTCACGAGAGCATGTGACTTGAGATCATCTGCTTTTGTAGCATTGTAGCGGGTTTTCCTTTGTTTTGTAACTTCTGGGGCGGGACATTCAGTGCTTGTTCAGAACAAGCCTAGCTGCTCTCAGGGGGTGTGGTTAAAGGAGAGACAATATTTTGCTGCCATAATGAAATGCAGATTCAGGTCTTGCAAGTTGAATAAACATTTGTACTGGACTGCCTGGTTAGATACTATGTTCAAGTTAGATACTTTGTATAGCTAAGAAATCAGACAACTTACATGATCCTTAAGTTATGGGCACACTGTATTCACTTTTCCGCAGTTAATAGTTTTTCTTTCGCTGTTGCTTTGTCAATCCATTGTTTACTTGTGAGTGGAGGTGAGAGGCCAGGTGCTTGTCGTTCCTTCCGGAACTCTCTGACCCACTCACTTCTCTGGTCAGCCAGTTGTCTTTACTTCCCCTATGAAAGTGCTGACAGCATTCCAATCTTAGCTTGATGCCAGGAAGTGTCCTTACTTTCGAGGAAAGTAAATAAATGCATTATTTCAGGGGGATCCTGGAGATCGCGGGTACCCGGGACCACCAGGCATTTTGGTGACTCCAGCTCCACCAGTCAAAGGTTTGTGATCAATCTAGTTCCTCCACAATTTATACCAACGTGGACTAGACAGGTCCAGAAAAACAAAAGTTTGATCCAGTATTCCTGTAGCTTGCACACTGGGGAGGATAAAAACATTAATATTGATATTTAGTTACTTTTCTCGTGGCTGTAATAAAATCCCCGGCAGGTTTATTTTGGTTCATGGTTCTGTGATGCTTTGACAGAGCATAGTACAGCCATTCTAGGAAGAAGATAGTAACTTGAACCAGGCACAGACTGGTTCAAAGGAACTTTCAAAGTTCCTTCCCTGTTGTCTTTTTTTTTTAAAGATTTATTTATTTATTATATATGAATACACTGTAGCTGTCTTCAGACACACCAGGAGAGGGCATCAGATCTCATTACAGATGGTTGTGAGCCACCATGTGGTTGCTGGGATTTGAACTCAGGACCTCTGGAAGTGCAGTCAGTGCTCTTAACCACTGAGCCATCTCTCCAGCCCTTCCCTGTTGTCTTACTTCCACCATCTTGACCATCTTGATATTCTCTCTCTCTCTCTCTCTCTCTCTCTCTCTCTCTCT